GGGGGGCGTATCGAGTTTACACTTCTCTTAATCTTAGAGCCCACTAATCAGCAAAGGCTTGGTGATTTGTACGATTTCATAAATCAATTTTGTAATCTTAGTCATAACAACACCCCTGCCGGTGTCCGCTATGTCATGGTTAGGGTCTTCGACTTTTCATGCAGTAGACGTAAGTTCGATTCCCCTGTGGGTACAAGTTAAAGTCTTTTCTATATTAATATCTCCGTCTTTCTGCTTGGATTCTGTATCTTGCTACACACGGGTTAGCCCAAATTGCAGACAGGATTGAAACAGTCTCACTTATAACTAACGACCATTAGATTCCCTTACAGCCCAACGGGTTCAAAATAAGTGAAGCTGAACGTTAATTTCGCCCCCCCCCCTCCCCCCCACTTGTATCGATTTTTAAAATGCTGCAAGTTAAAAGCATCTTTCGTGAAGGACGTTACCCTAAACCTCATGCGGCCTATGGAGAATGGAAGCCCCGGATGTGGGTATTAGGTCAAGTGAGCTCCGGATGGAGGGCTCAAATTCATTTTTACAGAAACGAGTTCACTTAAAGTCAACGGATATTCTGACAGCCCATCAGATTTAAAGCTCAAACTCCTCTGTACTGATACAATTCTTGGAAGAGAAATCTTAAGCTGTGTCCTGTCAGATTAAGAACGCTCATTTCTCTGTTCGTTTTGAAGAGAAATCTTAACCTTCTAGGGTATGTAGTTCTGTACGATAGAAAGAAAACCCCAAACAAATCCATCCAACAATCCTTGCAGTGGTATATGGTACGGGATTTAAAAAAATATGTAGGGTTCTTTTTTCGCCCCATCGACAAAATTTAGAACATTTTGGAGACAGGCTTCCGACCATGCTTGTCAAGGCCAAAGGGGGTTAAGAACAATACAACATTCTAGCAGAAATACTGAGATGTTCAAACGAAATTGTTTTCCTACTTGGGAATCAAACTAGGCTCTCTTGTGTGCGACTGCGAAACGCTTAACTGCTAGACCATAGACGCCAATGTACTGTATCTGGACGGACCGTTTAGGCAAAGACTTAATTAAAGTAACAGTCGTGCCTAAAGATACCATTTTGATATTCCGTGGCCTTGTAGTTAAGACTCTCGGACTCGCAACGGTAAGGTCGTGGGTTCCAATCCCGTCAGGGGCCCGACGATGTGTCCTCGGGAAAGGCACCTTACACAAATTTTCCTCACTTCACCAAGGTGGGAATGGGTACCCAGCTATAGACAGCGAAAGATCTTGTCAGTTTGTTAGTGTTTGAGAGCTTAGTCACTGCTTGCACTGCGTGCTATCTGGGAGGCTGGGAATGTTTTCGAGTGTTCTGTGGTCCGCTGGGGTAATAATATTATAATGTAAAACGCAGAGAGCTTGCTGTTGAGCAGGTGTATGCGCTATTCAAATGCTATTCATTATTATTATTTTTATTAAGAGTTGTATCGTGACTTCATGACTATGGCTATTCTGGCATGCTGGAATTGCGACGGAGCCCTTAAAGTCTTGAACCTTTAGAATTAATCGAAAGCAAGCGGCAAAACGAAAGAGCCGGGCAAATAAATGAGCAAAATTCGTTACAAGAAAATGAAACCGTGCGTGAACAGTCTACCGATTACAAAACCAGCCTCATCATAACCGTGCATTTACTATTATAGCTGACATATCACTCGCACAGCGTTATGCTAAAAAGAAGGCGTCAATCTCCTTGGATTGAGAAAGGGGAAAAATAGGTAGACAAACACGTGTGCAAATTTAAAAACTAATTAGCACCCAGACGTATGGAAAACAGAATCAGCAAACAAATAAATGATATGAATAGATAATAAATCAAACAGACATGTAATTAAGTCATTATTAAAGGGACCACTAACCGATCCTTCACCCACGTTATACATTGGGGAAAGAAACTGATAAATCGTTCTTGAGGATATCAATCGTTTTGGCGTCCTGAACACCCTAAAGGTGTCGAAAACTAATTTGGACCCCGTCACACACATGCATGCACACACACACACACACACACACACACACACACACACACACACACACACACACACACACACACACACATCCTTCCCACTTAAAAAAAATAAATTTTTTCTTCGAGCATGAAGTGACAACGATAGTGATAGGAGCATAAGGTCAGGTCATTTCTGAACGGGGAAGGGAAGGAAGTTCACTCTATTTCGCGAAAGCTATTTTATCTCGCTGAAGACAAAAAACGGTAGAGACTATAAACCATCTATCGTTCTTGTTTTCTATCCTCCCTCTCTTTTGTGTTTGTTACTATGTTGTAACACCTCTAATCTGCGGCACTTATAATAGACCTGCTTGAGTTGCCAAATGCCCGTAAAACTCTTACTAAAAAACCCCACGTCAAAGCAAAATTGCACTTGGAATAAATTTCTGTTCTTCGTATTCATTTTTTAAATGCCTCTTTACTCTCTACTAGATTGAACTTGGAGACTATTTGTGGCACGAGACTGTGGTATAAGGCGTTCGTCAATTTTTGGGCAGGTGAAAAGCCTGTTCGTTTTGTCTTGCTTTCTGTGAAAAAAAAATCCCTATTTATCTTGAATAGAAGTCGAGATATCAGCTATTGAAAAAGGTAGGGGGTCGTCTGGTTTCAGAAATAAAATTAGCGAGAAAATGGCTACCACGGTTTGATAACTTGCAAAGCTACAGTGCCCTTGGAAACAACTTGATCAACGTGCATAGTTTAGTAAAATTCCACACATAAATCTGTTTTGAACGGACATCAAAAGTGTTGGGACCTCAACAAATTCGATTCTTTAAAAAATGTCCAAACAGGCGGAAAAATGGCGATTTCTTTGATTTTATTATTCGGACGAGCGCCTGACCAACGAAACACTGCTGCAGTTGGCAGTGGGCGGTGCCGAAAGAAAGGCTCGGAATTTAACCCCCCCCCCCCCGTGTCTAATTAACTATGACTATGTCACAGGTGCGAGTTATCGTGGTGCTGATGAAAATTAGCCAACATTTTGAAAAAAAAATCAAATGTAAGAATGAAAATAAACGACAGAATGTTCCCTCCCCTCTCCTTAGCAAAAACAAACAAACAACAACAACAACAACAAAACAAACATGAACCTAACAACAACAACAACAACAAACATATAAACAAATAAATAATATACCCCTCTTAAAACAAACACAACCAAACTCCCTCCCCCAAGACACACAATCAAAATAAAATTCAACGATGATACTGAAGTAGCCACTTTTGTTTGGTTCTCTATATTTGGTGAATATCAGTTTAGATACCTAAGAGCAAGAGCGACATTATTATATGACAACGGATATATGCTTCAAGCAAAAGCCAAGACAGATTAAAAACACTGGAGAGAAAGAAAAGATGATTGGCCAGCTAGTGACACCCTCCAACCACCCGTTTTGACCAACACAAAACTAGAGAGGCAGACTTGGAGCAGCAGACATTCCCACGTGGAAGTTGAGACTACAGTGATTTGTACCGGATAGCAGTTTGAACTTTACTTCTATTGAGATTTTGAAATTGTTTTAGAAAGTTAAGAGACTTTTTTACTTAGTTCATCCTCCATTTCTATCTTACACTTGAAAGTGAGAACCACTTATAAAAACAATAGAAAACAAAACGAAACAACAACAAAAAAGACACCTAGAGCAGTCAAGTAACATTTAGCATTGCTTAGTAAAATAAAAACACTATACTTAGAAGCATTATGCAAATTAGCAGGAATAAAAGTCCGCACATGCACTTCCGTGCGTTGCATTCATACTTTGAATAGTTGGCGAGAGGTCCGGTTTCCTTGCAGTTGCAGGTCCAAATGTTTAGCTGAGATCAAAAATATACCTGGTGACTTCTACCTATTACAAGTTCCTTCTGAATACAGTGCACCAGGCGAAGACACAAAATTATGAGTGAAGAAATGATGCGAGTCCACTCCCCCTCGCCCTCTCTGAATGACAATGATGTTCTGTTGGGGAAAGGTTTCTCGCGTGAGTGCCACTGGTGTTTGGAGGGAGTCAAGGCGGTGCGAGTGAGGGTTTCCCCAGACTGTCGCCGCTCGTGTGGCGTCGCGTCGCGTCGCGTGGCGTGGCGTGGCGTGGCGGAGGAATATCGCGGGGCGGACCCCGGAGTTGAATATGTGTGGGACGTGCGGTCTTGGATGATGATGCCAGACTTTCTTTGACGGAGACGGGTGGTGGTGGAGGTGGGTGTGTGGAGAGTGAGGCGCGGGGAGAGGGGTGATGCTGGCGAGGGGAGGGCGGGGAGGGGATTGTCGGAGGGGCAACCTGAAGCTACTGGGGTGTAGTGGTGTGGGTGGAGTAAGGAGTGAGGGATGGAAGTGGTGAGTGAGAGAAAGTGAGAGAGAGAGAGAGAGGGGGTGGGGGAGGGACGGACAGTGAGAAAGAGAGAGAAAGATAGACAGACAGACAGACAGACAGACGGACAGACAGACAGGCTGACAAACAGATAAACAAACACAGACACATAGACACACAGACAGATGAAAGAATAGATGGACAGACAGACAGACAGCGAAGAAAGACTGAAAAAAGGGAGGGAAGGAGAGTATGAATGCGA